TTGAGAAAATGCTTTAAAGATGGATCTCATGGAGGCATTTCCTCAAGGGAGGCTCCTTTCTCTGTGATAACTCCAGCTGTGTCAGGTTGACACAAAACCAGCTAGTACAAATAACAATAAAAGTGAACAAGCAAATGCCAGTCATGCATATAAAAAGGATCAGTGGGCTCACTTCCGTAAGCAGAACACCTGGTAGAAGGACTAGAGAAGATAGCTCTGAATAAGGACTAAACTTTGTCTAATTTTGTCTAATTTTTGACTAAGCTTTTCCTGTGACATTTAGAATCACCTCAGATATCAACTCGGTTTCCTATAAGCTGTAACAATTTTAGTATATTCCTGTGGTACCTACTCTAGTATGTGAACAATGACTCCAGAGTTATTGGGGTCTTCTACTTAGTTGAGCATCTCAGAAAGAATATTATTTCTCCCTCAAGATATCCCCCATGTGCCTGCACAGCAACAGAAGACAATATTAAGTGTGTAGACACAGAAATTATTACCCCAGAGCTTGCTCTCAGAAGGCACATACTGGTGAAAGCCAGTATGTTTTATGTCAACTTGAAAGCAGCTAAAGTCATCAAAAGGAGGGAGCCTCAATTGAGGAAATGCCTACATGAGATTCAGCTGTAAGGCATTGTCTCAATTAGTAACCAATGAAGGAGGGTCCAGAGTACTGTGGGTGGGGCCATCCCTGGGCTGGTGGTCCTGGGTTCTATAAGAAATCGGACTGAGCAAGCCATTGAGGAGCAAGCCAGTAAGTAACATCCCTCCACGGCCTCTGCATCAGCTCCTGCCTCCAGGTTCCTGCCCTGTGTGGGTTCCTGTCCTCAATGTTTTTGATGATGAACTCTGAGTGAAATAAATGTTTTCCTTCCCAACTTGCTTTTGGTCCTGGTGCTTCATCACAGCAACAGTAACTTTATCTAAGACACCTAGGAAGCATGGTCAAATTCAACTCTATACTGTATCTTGTCTGATCTGAGACAGATCACTCAGATATGCTTCCAAACTGCCAAAAGCAGAAAACATTACACTCCCAACGGGGTTGGGGGTGGGGGTGGGGGGTATGGATTAACTTGAAAGATACTTGTATAATGCTAAAAAATGTTAACTGGGTCTACAGTTAGTGAGATTTCAACTGTTACAACTTACAAAACAAAACAAACAAACGAAAGCAAGATAATTGTATCTTGATAAAAAACAGAGGTGGGCAGCTCTCAGCTCAGTGGGCAGAGCAATTGCTTAGTGTGAGCAAGAGGGGTTCACACCCCCTCACCGTGTTAATACAACAAAACACCTCAAACTTTAAAACTATTCCTTTTCCTGGTCCTTACGCGTTATTAGTCTCAAATATAACCTTAGAGCAAAGCATATGCTTATGGAGCGAGGAACTGCCCCATAAAACCTTTAGCACAAGCCCCACTGCTTCGACCTCTGCTGCCACTGCTGCCTCAAGAGAGAGGAAGCAGAAGAGGAGCCCATGTTGCCTGTCACCTATATCCTCACTGCGCCGCCAGGAAGAAAGATGTTCGCCTGCGCCAAGCTCGCCCGCACCCCTGCTCTGATCCGAGCTGGATCCAGTGTTGCATATAGACCTATTTCTGTATCAGTGATATCTCGACCAGACACTAGGACTGGAGAGGGCTCTACAGTATTTAATGGGGCCCAGGATGGTATGTGTCAGCTGATCCAGAGGGAGTTTCAGACCAGCGCTATCAGCAGAGACATTGATACTGCTGCCAAATTCATTGGTGCAGGTGCTGCAACAGTAGGAGTTGTTGGTTCTGGTGCTGATGTTGGAACCATCTTTGTCAGTCTTATCATTGGTTATGCCAGAAACCCTCCACTGAAGCAGCAGCTGTTCTCATATGCTGTCCTGGGATTTGCCTTGTCTGAAGCTATGGGTCTCTTTTGTTTGATGGTTGCGTTCTTGATCTTGTTTGCCATGTAACAGATATTACTGCCTGAAACGTTGGCATTCGTAGTGATTTCGGATGTAGTTCTGTGTATCTTGCTGTGACTCCGAAGACTATAGTACTGGTGTCATGGAAATACATGTTACTTCCAAACTCATTTCATTAAAGATGAAAGTTTAAACAAACAAACCAACAAACCTGTAAAAAGTGGAGACATCATCAGTTGGTTCTCAAGGCATCATAAGGTCCTTGAATTACAAAAATTACCAGATCAGATGCTGTTATATGGAGTGAGTAACAACTAAATAGTGTTACAGTAATGATGGATATCTAAGTTAAGCTTTTCTCGGGTTCCGGTTACTGTATGAGAAATCTAAGCTTACAGTGCCACCTACAGGCCAAGAAAAGAATATTAATGACAGCATGTTTTTGGTTTTTTGGGTTTTTAAATTTTTTTCTTTTATTTTTACACTCCAGATTTTATTTTCCTCTCAGTCCACCCTCCGACTGTTACACATCTCATACCTCCTCCTAACCTCCTTGTTCCCAAGAGGATGTCCCCACCCGCCCCCACCCCACCAGACCTTTAAACACCCTGGGGCCTCCAGTCTCTTGAGGGTTAGGTGCATCTTCTCTGACTGAACCCAAACCCAGCAGTCCTCTGCTGTATATGTGTTGGGGGCCTAATATTAGCTGGTGTATGCTGCCTGGTTGAGAGATCTCCAGTGCTCTCCAGTGTTTGAGAGATCTCAGGAATCCAGGTTGAGACTGCTGGTCCTCCTACAGGGTCGCCCTCCTCCTCAGCTTCTTTCAGTTTGTCCCTAATTCAACTACAGGGGTCACCAGCTTCTGTCAATTGGTTGGGTGCAAATATCTGCATCTGACTCTTGCATCTGCTTGTTGGGTCTTTTGGAAGGCAGCCATGCTAGGTTCCTTTTTGTGAGTGCTCCATCAGTGTCAGGTCTTGGGGCCTCCCCTTGAGCTGGATCGCACTCTGGGCCTGTCACTGGACCTTCTTCTCATCAGGCTTCTCTCCATTTCCATCCCTGCAGTTCTTTCAGACAGGAACAATTATGGATCAGAGTTTTGACTGTGGGATGGCAACTCCATCCCTCACTCACATGCCCCGTCTTTCTGCTGGAGGTGGGCTCTACAAGTTCCCTCTCCCCACTGTAGGGCATTTCATCTAAGGTTCCTCCCTTTGAGTGCTGAGAGTCTCTTACCTTCCAGGTCTCTGGTACATTATGGAGGGTCCCCCCAACCTCTTCCCTCCCAAGGTTGCCTGTTTCCATTCTTTCTGCTGGCCCTCAGGGCTTCAGTCCTTTTCCCCCACCCAATACCAGCTCATGTTCCCCAATCCTCCCCCATCCTCTTTTTAATTCATAAAATATAACTTTTCTGAGGAAATTAAAATATCCCTCCCCTCCCAAGTTTTACAACTTAATAGAGAATCACTTTATTTTCTATCATCGCTAAAATTGTGAAGGCAGTTTTAAAAACTAACGGTATCATAATATACAACTTCATTTGTATTTTGAGATTGCTGAAGCGTCTGTGATGGGTAACCTCGAGTGTCAACTTGAAGAGGTTAGAATCACCTGGAAGACAATCTCACTTGACACGCATGTAAGGGGGATTATCCTGTTTAGAGTGATTGGGGCAGGAAGCCACACCCACAACAGGCGGCGCCATTCCCAGCGCTTGGATCCTGAACTGTCCATGAGTGACAAGTATCCACTGTTCCCTACTTTCTGACTGTGGTCACCAGCGCCCTCAGGATCCTATTGCCATGACTTCTTTGCCGTGACAGATTGCACCTTGGATCTGGGAGCCAGAATAAACCCTTTCACCTTTAAATTGTCTTTGTTAAGGTTCTTCATTGCAGGAACAGAAAGGTAACTAAGATGATATGTAACATCATCTGACATATCATGTAATAGCCTATCATATATATGGCCATAACATATACATTTAGTCATTACATTAGACATACAAAATTTTATATATATACATATATATGTATATACATACAGTCATTATATTCCACACCCAAAACTATACATAATCATTATATGACACACACTACATATATGCATACATACATATATACATATATATAATTTTTTAAAGTGAATATTCATCATCTCATAGAATGTCATTTTCTTTTCTTCTCTTCCACATTGTACCTGCAGACATGTAACAGCTGTGGAGTGCCAGGCCCCTCTTCAACACACTGTACTTACATTACCTGATGACAGTTTCACATTAGACCTCCAGTAGTATCTGTGTTAATGTCCCCTATGTGACTCTTGAGCAGGAAGCACGGGATCTTGAATAAATAGTAAAGCCAAGGCTCGAGCTGGGGCAGCTGGTCGCCAGTGGCTGTGGGTTTTTCTTTTTTAAACATTCTTTATTATATATTTTTTTACTTTAAAGGATGCTTAAAGAGCTACAAATATAGCTCAGAGATCCTGTTTGCTTAACATAGTCAATGCCCTGGAACTGAGTTCCATTAAAATATGCTTCTCACTGGCGAGCATGACCTGTGTGAGACACCTGTGTTGCTCCTGTAAAACACTGTCTAATGCTACTAAATTTCCATCAGTAACTTTAGTGACTACGTGTCTGCTAACAATCTGACTCAACTCATCTTCCTCATGTTACTTATCGGTGGACTCCGAACTGACTTCTGATTCGCTCTACAATATACAGAGTAGTGGTCCTCAGCCTTCCTAACTCTGTGACCCCTTAAGCTCCTCAGGCTGTGGTGAGCCCCCCCCCAACCATAAAGTTATTTTGTTGCTACTTCGCAACTTCGCTATTGTTATGAATCATAACATAAACATATTTGACCAACAAAGGGATTGTGACCCACAGGTTGAGTTCCACTGATACAGAAGAACATGCAACAAAAAACACATTTTGCATTCCATAGAAAACTTTTGCTTCTTTTGGATTTTATTTCCTGGTTCTAATAGTCTCTAAATGGGTAGAATTTAGCATCGCCATACAAAAAAACAAACAAACAAAAAAAAAACAAAGAAAAAAACAACAAACAACAACAACAAAAAACATCATTGCTGGTCTGCAATATTCCATATGGATTTTTTTAATTTCATCACTGTATGTTACTGGCAATGACACAAATATCTGACTAGGTCTTCCCAATAAATAATTCACCTCTCTCTATCCAAACTTAAATGACATAACGCAGTTAAAGATGACTCATGGTGCGGGACAATTAAAGCAAACTTAAGATTTCCAAATGGACAACAGGTTTTCTTTTCGCAGCATAAAACGTAGATACAATTCTGTGGTAACTCAGGAAATTAGGAATGTCTTTATTTTCAAAAAGGATCAATACAATATCCAACGTCATCGGTATGTGTCAGAAATAGAATGTGGAATACAGACAGCAGTCTAAAACCTGAGTTTTAGGTGAAAGAAAACATAGCAAAACATATACTAAAAAGTTAGTATAAAAAATTTAATTAAAATCTTCAGTCTTTCTCAAAGATGATCTCATAAATACATTATGAGAACAGATACTGCCCTTGCATGGTGTAATACCAGCCACTTAGTGCCAGAAAGGATGGCAGTTATGGAGAAAAGCTTCTCAGGTCCTGTCTCCACGGTTTCATTGTCACCTGGCTTTACCTTTCTAAGCAGTGTGGACGGTGTTCTCTCTCCGCCTCTCTCTTAAGCGTGATGAACAGCAGCCAGTGCTCAGAGGTGTGCTCCAAAGACCTGGAACTTTCATGACTGGAGCAAAAGTCCCTGAAGCACGACCTTAAAGACCACGGTCACATAGTTTTAAACTTAGACACTGATGCTTACGTTAATATACCACACCCAGCCTCTCAGGATACCGTGAAAACTGACAATCAGCAGCTGCGAAGCTCGAGGTGGAGTCCTGGGAACCACAGCTACCCTTGCTTCCGAATGCGGGGCACGTGGCTACATCAGGGTGTGGACTTAAATGTCGCCTTTCATCATTTCCCGCAGACAAACGGTAGCGTAACAGGAAGCGTCGAGGTCGAAGGACAAGGACAGTGATGAGGCTGTAGCATCGGCGTGGGACCCTTCCGCTTGAATCTCAGCAGCGTCAGGATGGACTAGTCGGTGTGACACGTTGTGGGGGTGTTTCACGATGTGCCTGTAGCATCCGGGTATATTCAGCTTCAGGGCGGGCACCCTGAACCTACAGGCCTGCAGTCCGTCCCTGCTGAGGACTCCTTGGTACCACTGCCCTACTTTGTTCTCTGGGTACTGAATGTTGTATCCAAGCACAGGCAGAACCACCTAGGAGGGCAGGGAGAAACGACAGCCTGTGGGTTAGCCTAAGAGAAGATATGCTACCATATCTCACCTGTCTGACTGGGACCCAGCTTTGTAAAACACAGCGTCAGGCTATGAATATGACAGTTGGCCTGAGACATGTTTTGGGTATTACCTAGGCTAGCTATAATGTTATTTGATAAAGAGCTAGCTTAAACCAAAGAGTCGGGAGAGCTGTGGTAATCAGTTTACGTCAGGTATCGCTGGGCAAACCATAATTCAGAAATAAAGGTTCGTTTACAGACTCAGGAAAGACCAACTCTCTGAAAGCACGCAATCCTACAAGTGGAGTCTTTGGTGACACGCAGGATAGTCTACTGCTAACCCTGCTATATTGCACGACAGTCTTAGATTCCATTTATTAAAAAGCAAACAGGTGACAGCGAGTATTTTTATTTTTTATCAGCTGCATGCCCGTGAGTAACGCCCTGCTCCTTCAGGGTTGCTCCTTTGCTGACTGCTGGACAGTATGCTTTGGTGCTAAAAAGTATTTAGAAAAACGGACAAAAAGGCATCAAATGTATAAACGAATCTCACAGAAGCCAGGCACTTTAGGGTTTAGGTCAGCATGCAGAAGGCTGAAGCAGGGTATGTGTGAGTTGGAATCTAGCCTGGGCTACGGCAGGCGTCTGAAACATGATTCACTTGTAACCCTTTTATCCAAGAAATTTGTACATGACCCTAGGCATGTAACTCTGTGAAATTGGTATAAAAGCCAGAAATTGGCTGATAATAAATCATACAAGATGTATTTCAGGATGATTCTTTAATGTCATATATATAATTCTATCTTTATTAAAGACAATCTAATTATTAAAATATTAAATCAAATTTGCATGCTAATAAGATTACGTGCTGTTTATTTTCATCTGAGGCATTAGCTGTTGGCTGAATATTTGAAATTGTGGGACAGAAAGCGTCTTCAGGGTTTTCCAGAGTTGGTAGGTATTTGGATTCAGTAATCCTCACCGCCAAGAGGATTGTTTCACACAGACAACACAGCACAAAACGGCAGAAGTAACTTAGAGCCATTTCAGAAACCGTTCCAGCTAACAGCTGTTCTTAAAAGTCAGCTACCAAAATAACAATTTTTAAAATCAGGTATCCTAATGCAATCCAACCCAAGCATAACTTGATATTTACATGCTGGTGGATGGTGGTAGAAAAATATTACGTCTCTGTTTTCCAGAAGTAAGCCATTTGTTTTTTTAAAAACCGAAAATTTTTGTATGTGCAGTAAAACCTACTTCGGCTAATATGTAATCGTTGGGAATCTGAGCTGAGGTGTTTCAGGCGACACCATCATCACCATCATCACCACCATCACCATCCTCACCATCACGGTCGTCGTCGTCATCACCATCTGCACGGTTGAGCATGCGGTACTCACGGTGCAAAGCGCATGTGTTACGATGCAGACCCTGGTCTGCAGTGAGGACACATGACGCGGTACCGGCGAATGCTTCTACAAATACCCTGGGTGCGTTATGCACTTGGTCATCCGCTAACTTTCTGTCCGTATGTACTCAGAAACCTCGTGCTGCTGCAGAACGTTTTACCATCCCCACGTTTCGCCGTGGGGTCACAGCCTACAGACTTAGAAGCTGAGATGCAGGACGGTTCAACAAAGGCCACGTAGATACTGTGCGACACTATTCACGTGACATTTTTTTTTCCCAAGGGTAGAGCACGGTAAGATAAGATAAAAAAGTAAATCGGTGATTCTTGTGAGATAGGATGAGTGCAACCCTGGAAGTAGGATTAATGGTCAGACACTGGGAAACACCGGAGGGAGACATGAACTGCTCTTACTAAATTTCTGTATTTGCATGACTATATATGTTTATCAGAAGCAAGCATAAAATAAATGATTAGGATCTAAATGATAGCATAATCATTTTGTTATAAGCATAGATTATTAGGATAATAACATTACTTAATTTAAAAGTTACCTAAGAAGGGAGGGTCAGATTTGTCTCTAGCAGACAATGCTCATGTAAATCTAAGTGATGATAACTTGTAACCACATTTACCTGGTGCAGTGCGTATGTGTTGTCTGATTCCTCTTCTTTGGTCACCAGATGAACCTAGATTTATAAAATACAGTCAAAATGAGTGGTTCCCAAATGCTCAGACTACCTCAGTGTTCCCTGACTGACACACTGAATACACATACGCTCAAACACGACCTCTTCATAATCTCGTCTCCAGACAAGCCCACTCCGTAAAAACAGACCAGTCCTTTCTGCGTTGACCACACACTACTGAAGCCGTGATAGCCGTGACTTTCCTTCCTCACCAACGAATTATGCCGAACTGAACATCTGCAGAGCCAGACCCTCCCTTCCACTCCAGGGTGACCCTAGCAAAGACAACTAGTAATGGGAGACACAGAGCCTGAACCCGTTATCTTCTGTAAGGCAAGGGCTCAAATGGAGGGACTGGGACATCAACCCAGCCACAAAACCTTTGATATAGTTTGTCCTGCCTGCAGAGTGTTCTAGGACCAAGCAAGCGGAAGCATCAAAGTGACCATAGAGACTTCATCACGCTGTTTGCTAATGAACGGTTGTAGGCATCAGAGACAGGAAGGGAAGGAAGGAGGTGTGTGATATATTATGCTTGGAAAATGTTGCTCGCAGTGTCATAGGATACAGGATTCTGGGCTGGAGAGATGCTCAGCTGTGAGGAGCACCTGCCACTCATGCAGGGGTCGGGTTGGAGACACCATGGTGCAGGCATAAATCATGGGTTTCAGACAAAGGGCCAATAAATTCATGCTGGGGTCTCTTTTAATTAGTGTGGGGGAGATTTCTATTACCTGAAATGATTTGTATAGATTTGTATAGATTTGT